ACATGGCAGGGTGTGGGCGCCGGCGCGCGCGCATGACGGGAGACGGAGCGCAAAGCGATGGAGAAGGGCGGGATGAAGGCCCAAATGAAGTGTTTCCTCTCGAAGCAGAAAAGGCTGAGAGGAAGCCGTGTTTTTAGCTCGCGGTCTAAGGTCTAGGTACCGCGCCCTACTCTATCACACAGACGATCTGCTTAGTCCCCGGGGAGAAGGGTCAAGGGCGGGAGCGTCCCCCAAAAATATGCAAACGGTCGGCAGTTCCCTCGCCGAGTACGAAGTCGCTCGTCTCGAAATCTTGTTCCGCCCTCTCTCTCTCTCTTTCTCCTTCCCCATCTCATTCCTAATTCCCCCTTTATCCCCCTGGTTTGCCCACTTGACTGTTTAGCCCTGGCCTTGCTTCTCTAGGTTCCTCTGGCCATCATCGATCGAGGACGTTTCTTTTCGTCAACGCAGCCGTAACTGTTTCTTGTTGTCCTCTTCCCACAGTTGGACACCATGTCGATGCAGGATGGGGTTATGTACGTCGCGCCTGTGCCAGAGGGCTATGTGCGTGATCCGACTGCGGCACCACAAGTGACTGCGCTCATGATCGTGTCGGGCGTGAGCTTTGCCTTGGCCGTTCTTTCGACAATTGCGCGGATCTGGACGAGAGCGGCCGTCATCCGCATGGTCTCCCTAGACGATTGTACGTCAAACACCCCTGCTTTGCGGATTTTGGCATGTTTGGCATGTTCTTCCATGGCTGACTCGCGTTTTCCCTAGATCTCATGATCGGCGCCCTGGTAAATCTAACCTTATCGAAACTTAAAATGCCTTTCGAATATTGTCTAACAAGTTGCAGCTCTGCGGCACAGCCCTCGTTGCCTTTGTGTGGCACAGTACGTCTCGACACCATGACGATGACCAACGTGCAGTATACTGATCCATGATGTCGTAGTGCTCAACTGGGGCCTCGGGAAGCACCTCTGGAACGTGCCCATGACGCCCGACTTTTATCCCAACTTTGCGCTCTCAAACGTGCTGGCGGCCATCTTCTTCTGCCTCGCAACAGGCCTCGCCAAGGGCTCGATCCTGCTCTTCTATCTGCGCATCTTCCCCTCGCGCAAGATGATCTGGACCGTCTGGGTCCTCTTTGGCTTCACCGTCGGCTACTCGCTCGCCTGCGCCCTCGTCAACGTCTTCAGCTGCAACCCGATTGCTGGGTCGTGGGCGCTTGAGCACGCGGCCACGGCCGTCTGTATCAACCGGCCCGTCTTCTACTTTGTGCAGGCGAGCCTGGGCATCTTCACTGACATCACGACCGTCGTGTGCCCGCTGCCCGTGCTCAAGACGCTGAGGCTGCCTCTGAAGCAGAAGATTGGTGTTGCCGTGGTTCTGTCCATGGGTGCCCTGTGAGTACTCTTCCGGCTACTCGTTGCACTGTAAAAAAGAAAAGCATCTTTGCTGACGGCCTTGTAGGGTCTGTATCATCAGCGTGATTCGTCTGCACTCGCTCTACATCCTGCTAAAGGAGACCGACCTCACAAGTGAGTCCCCCCTAAGAGCACCGCGGAAAACATGGCACGCGCTAACAAGAAGCAGTGAACACGGTCACGGCCCTCATGTGGTGCGTCCTCGAACTCAACCTCAGCATCTTCGGCGGCAACATCCCGGCCGCCAAGCCGCTGCTGCAGCAGATTTTCCCCAAGCTCTTCGGCACCTCGCGCCGCGACACCTCCAACGCCATCTACCTGCACTCGTCCCACGGCGAGCGCTCGCAGACCAAGGGCAGCCGGGCCATGGGCGGGTCGCACTTTGCGCCCGATGCCAGCATGCGCACGCAGACGCATGTCGTGGGCGACAGCGGCAGCGAAGAGTACATCATGCAGGACCAGAAGATTACCAAGACGGTTGAGTTCAGCTTTGACGTGCAGAGCGCGAGGGACTCGGACGCCGATCTGCGGAGGTAGGGGGCTTGTTGAGAATAGCTTCAGCCTGGGGCACGGAACGTGGAAGCATGGTAGCGGAAGCATGGCGGGAAAAGCGTAATCACAATTGTAGTTTTTTTCGGTTTTGAATCTCGAATGAGATCTCGATCAGTCAGATCTCCATCCTGTCAGCGTGCCGTCGGACGTCCGAAGCCGGTCCGGATTTGGAGGTGTGCCATTCTCAGCCGCGTGTGTGACCTTCTGTATTGGGCTTCAGCCGCTCGGCATGGAGAGCTGCTGTACAGGCCCACTAATGCAGCGGTATGTTTGTTGCCTCGGACAGATCGACTGTTCTCGACTTGTTCTTGACTCTACCTCCTTCTCAGATCTCACGCATTTACAGCAGTTGCCAGCCTCACCACCGCTTCTGCAAACCAGACACCCAACCACAGCCCGTATTCATTCTCCAGCCGAGAAAGCTGCCATGACCGTCCCAGACCCTACGCTCCCGCTCCCGCGCATCCTTTGCCTGCACGGCGGGGGCGTCAACGCCGACATCTTCGCCGCCCAGGCGCGCGCCCTCATAGCGCGGCTCGCGCCGTACTTCCGCCTCGTCTTCGTCGACGGGCCCTTCCTGTGCGCCGCCCACGAAGACATTGTCGCCGTCTACGGCGAGCTCGGCCCCTTCCGCCGCTGGCTGCCGTGGCTGCCGTCGCACCCGGACGTCGACGCCGAGACGGCGTCGGCCGAGATCCGCTACAGCCTGCGCACCGCCATGGAGGGCGACGACGCCGCCGGCGCCACGGGGCCCTGGGTCGGCCTGCTGGGGTTCAGCCAGGGGGCCAAGATGGCCGCGAGCTGGCTGTACACGCAGCAGGTCCTCGGCCGTGGGGCGGCGACGGCGTTTCGGTTCGCCGTGCTGCTCGCCGGCCGGGCGCCGCTTGTCGTGCTCGAGGAGGGCGTCGCCGTGCCGCCGGGCGTGGCGGATGCGTCGATGAGGAGCACGCAGTTTGAGGGGCTGCCGGAGGGGATCACGGGCGATGCGCACGTGCTGAAGCTGCCGACTGTTCATGTGCACGGCCTGAGGGACCCTGGCCTCGAGATGCATCGGGTCATGATGAAGTCCTACTGCGAGGAGGGCACGACGAGGTTGGTTGAGTGGAATGGCGGTCACCGGGTGCCGATCAAGCAGGCGGATGTCGATGCCGTTGTTGGGGAGATTTTGAGTCTGGGCAGAGAATTGGGATTGGTGGATGGTGGTGAGCTAGCATAGCGTCGGCATTGGTTTGCTCTTCGAGGGTTCTTGAAAACATTCACGATAGTGTGTCCTTGCTCATGCTGTGAATAGGCAGTACACCTCGATTGATGTGATCACTACAGTACGGACTAATCGTCCTTCATTTGAAGCTGGAGCACAGCTTAGACTGAAGCACAGTTCAGATTTAAGGTAGCGCCATCTCGCGACATTGGCGGAGCCAAGGCAAACAAGCCGTGAACTCGGTTCCAGCCGTGAGTCACTTCGCCGAAGCGGGCACTGAAAAACGCTTCGTCGCCCACGATCAGACATCCAAGACACTTTGTGTACCAACAACTCCTTCATCGCCATGGCTGCCGTTCCCGACGTCCTTGTCACCGGCTCGGCCGGACACCTTGGCTGCGCCCTCATGCTATCGCTTGCCTCTCACGGGCACACCCCCATCGGCATCGACATACTCGCCGCAGCCACGACGACGCACGTCGGCTCCATCGCCGACCGCCCCTTTGTCGCCTCCATCTTCGCCCGCTACCCCTCCATCCAGCATGTCCTCCACGCCGCGACGCTGCACAAGCCGCACGTCGACTCGCACACCAAGACCGACTTTATCAACGTCAACATGACGGGGACGCTGAATCTCCTCGAAGAAGCCTCAGCCCTCGGCCCGCAGATGGCGTCCTTCGTCTTCATCTCGACAACCTCCACCTTTGGCCGGGCCTTGAGCCCTCGACAGGGCAGCCCCGCCGCCTGGATCGACGAGGCCGTCGTGCCGATCCCCAAGAACATCTACGGCGTCACCAAAGTCGCCGCCGAGGATCTCTGCCGCCTGGTGCACGCGCAGACGCGCATGCCCGTCCTCGTGCTGCGCACGAGCCGCTTCTTCCCCGAACAGGACGACGACGAGGACAGGCGCCGCGCCGTGGACGATGAGAACCTCAAGGTCCTCGAGCTGGCGTATCGGCGCGTCGACATTTCCGATGTCGTGTCCGCTTGCGTTTGCGCCATGGCGAGGGCACGGGATGTGGGGTGGGGGAAGTACATCATCAGCTCGCCGCCTCCGTTCCGTCGTCATGAAGAGACGCTCAGGGGCTTGGATGCTGATGCCGGGGCTGTGTACAGAGATGCGGTGCCGGGGATGGAGGACGCGTTTGCGAGACGGGGCTGGGGGTTCTTGCCGAGGATTGATCGGGTGTATGATTCTTCCAGGGCGGTGGCCGAGCTGGGGTGGAAGCCTGAGTATACGATACAAAAGACGGTGGAGCGTCTGGCCAGAGGTGAGGAGTGGAGGAGCGAGTTGGCTTTCAAGGTCGGGAAGAGAGGGTATCACGCTGTGCCGACGGGGGTCTATACCACCGCTGAGAGATAAACGATCTGTTCGCTACGTGTTGTTGATGCGGACGTCAAATTCTCTTGTTTCGTGAATAGGTACGCGCTTACTCCTGATAAGAATACTCATGAACATTTCGAAAAGGTGGTGGACGAACTGGGAGAATTGAGGCTCCTTATTTGAGCTCACAGACCATCACTTCAGGAGCCAGGAACAGCGAGTGTCTGTAAACATGTACAAATTCGCTACGCCTCATAATTCTTTTGGTTCGAGAGGGTTGATATACCACATCTTCTGTCTGCGAGACCATGTAGGAGAAAGTTAAGTGCAAGGCTTTCCGCATGATGAACCCATTCAAAGCATCAGAAGTGGTCGCAAGCCTGGGAAATACACCTGTAATTCGATATCGCCACTATTTCATCAATGGAGAAACAACATTGACTCTTGAGAGCATGGTAATATGCGAGTCAAGGAAATGCTTCACTGATACTGGAAGGTGAGACTCGAATGTAGCATCTCTGCATCGGAATCTGCAGACATTCAGGTAACACATCGCAAGATGAGCACAGCAAAGCCCAAATGTCACAGGCACAAGGGAAGCCCTGATTATTTGCATGTATCCTGAAATCAAGACGCTACATCGTCACCCAAAACATCCCCCGCCAATGTGCCACATCACTCCAACGGCCGCAGAAGATCCCCATGCCCCTCTGCCCTGACAGCATCCTGCACGGCAGCTAGGATCTCGGCATGCACGCCCGCCGGCGCGGCAACCCAGCCAAAGTTGGCAACCATCTTACGCCCCGCCGTCAGGTCGGGCTCCCTGCCATCGACGTCGGTCACCTTGCCGCCGGCCTCCTGGAACATGAGCATGGCGCCGGCGTGGTCCCAGATCTTGCCGAGGCGCTCCCTCTTCTTGTAGACCCAAAAGGTCACGTTGGCGTGGCCGAGGGCGAGGGAGGCCCAGCGCGGCACCCAGCCGAGGAGATCGTTGCCGGGGTAGGCGAGGCCCATGCGCGCGGCAATCTTCTCGTGGATGCCGGGGATGGACGAGTCGGCGTCCGTGCTCGTGACGAGGCGGTACGATGACGTGTCGGTGGGGTGCTGCGGGATGCGGGTGCCGGCCAGGTCGGCGGCCCCGGGCAGCGGCCGGAGGAACGACCCGCGCCCGCGGACGGCGTAGAGGAGGGAGCCGCCGTGCGGGTTCGGGTCGATGGTGTGGTTCTGGATCGGGGGCGTGGCGTCGGGCGAGAGGTTCGGCAGGCCCACAACAGCGACTGTCTGCTTGCCGTCGACGAGGAGGCAGGCGTTGACGGCATAAATCTCACCGCGAAGGTAGGTTTTTGTGCCGTCGATGGGGTCGAACACCCAGACGCGCCCCTGGTGAGGCTGGCCGAGGCCTGCACGGTCGATGAGCTCGCAGGTGTGGTCTGGCGACGTTGGGAAGTGGACCACCGAGGCACCGTCCTCACCCTCGACCTCGGCGGCTTTGACCTCTTGCAGAATCGCCCACACGGCTGCTAGCAAATCGGGGTTCGCTCGCAGGTCGTCAGCAGCCTCCTCGCCGACAAAGGAGTCACTAGGAAAGGCCGCCGTAAGGGTGGCGGTGAGGATGGCCTGGCAAGCAAAGTCGGCCACGGTGACCGGGCTGTGGTCATTCTTGTCGATGTGTCCTACGCGGTTGTTGGCAGCGGCCAGGACGATTTTTGATAATTTCGCAGCGCGTTGGACAGCCGATATCGTTGTCGTGAGCTCCGCGAGGTACTGTGAGTCCATCGTCGATGAGGGGGGCGGGGCCGCCCAGGGAGCCTAGGTATGGTGTTTTGATGGTGACGAGGGGTGTTCCAGATTGGTGCCGTGAGTCCTTGCTGAGGCCTGATACTGGTGGAGGATAAGGTCGACTGAGAATATGGCAGGCGAGGTCCAATTGACAAAATTGTGAGTGAATTGAAGATTGAGGCAATAGATAGATGAGTCTGATGCAAGCCGAGCTGAAGTGAAGCGAAGCGAAGCGAACCCGATGGGAGCAAGAGTGAAAATCCGTGGTAGTGACGTTTTGTGGGGCTACCGTCATCGGCTCCTGCCCCGCAAGGGACTGATCTGGGTGCGCCTGCCGTTCGTCAAGCTGCTGGCAGTAGCACCCCGAGGGACCATCATCGTCATTGAGGGCATCGCGAGGCAATGGCAAGATGAATGATGCACTTTGCTCCTTCTAACTCCCGGCCTCGACCCTTTGTCCAAAAATCATCTATCGGCCCTTCATCAAGTGGACAAAATGCAGGAGAACAAACTCAACTACCTAGGTAGGTACCTAGGTAATCAAGCATGTCTAGCCATCACACGCTGACCTGTAGGCATCTTTCCCTGTGGTCCTACACAAGCACAGCACCGTCAGTCGAATTGCCGAAATCCCGGTTCGAAGAGGGGTTTGACTAGCAGCGCCAGTTAGCACAAATCTTGTCCATTTCCCCCAAACAAACAACGAAGTAAACTCACCCTGCTCCCACGTCAACAGCGGCTCCTTGCTCGCCACAATGTCCCACCAAACCCGCAGACACCACGTCCCCACGAGCGCGTCCCGGCGACTCTGCGCCATGGGCTCGACAATCTGCAGCCGCACGATGCCGTCCTCGTACGTGTCGTACGCCAGCAGCGGCCCGCCCTTGTCGCCCTCGCGCCACTCCCACCGGCCCGCCGCCGTCGCCTTGACCGAGAAGAGCACGTCGCCGCCCTTGAGCTCGCCCGCCACCCCGTTGGGCCGCGTCACACGCAGGGCGCGGTACTCGGTCGAGCCGGCCATCTTGTGGCGCTTCTTGAAGCCGACGTGGCTGAGGTTGCTGCGCCGGACGGACTCGAGGTAGAAGGGGAAGTTGGACTGCATGACTGCCGTCGGCCGCGACAGGTTGTACATGTGCTTCTTGCGCGCCGCGATCTCGGGGCCCCGGTCGTCCGAGGAAGCGGCGCGGCGGACATGGTAGTCGAGGCGCGAGAGCTCGACCTTTTGGTGCGATGGCGTGAGGTGGCCGAGGGCGAGGGAGAGCTCGTAGAGGGGTGGTGATGTGATGGAGGCGGTGCTGTGGATCGTGGTGCCCGCGAGGAGCAGCGTCTCGGGGGGTATCATGTCGTCTTGGATCGTGGACGCTGTGTCGGCGTACGGCGGCAGGCCGGTGTCGGACGATGCCGAGGGCGAGCGTGGCCGTCCCTCATGGCCCAGATTGGCATCGAGCATCTTGCTTGGCTTGCTAGCCATGGTGTCGTGGATGCTGTCACAGACGTTGATCTGGCCGGTGATTTATTGCAGTGATTTGTTGCACTACCAATGAAGAGGACTGACGGCGGTAAAACGGCCACTCGACAAAAGGAGCCGTCTTGCGCAAGCTATCTCACGCACGAATGGGGTGTGCTTGGTCCGACAGTCGATGTTTAATGATTCTTGGCAATCGGACCAAGTGGCTCAGCTGTCGCATCACATCACCATAAAAGTATGATGCTCTCATGACAAGTGAACTGCCCGAGACCCCATGCCTCGGCATCAGTCTCATTAGCGTGACAGGGCTGGCGTCACCAGGTCTTCTCAAGCCCCTGCAAGGCGAATAACACCATAACAGGAATGGAGCTGTAAGGTAGGTAGGTAGACAAGAACAGCTCGTCATGGTGCAGCAGCAGTCGTCTTGGCCGTGAGTGCTACGAAGAGACATGGCTCAGGTATCAAGCCGCCAGGCCTCCAAACTACCTAGGTAGGCTGTAGGGTTCCCTTCAGGGTCATTGTCCAGCGGTCGCTGCCCATGTGGACCTGCTGTTTGTGGTAAAACCCGCTGCTGCGCATCGGCCAAATAGCGCCAGGCCGCTGTAAACACTGAGATGCCCCGCCTTGCCCGCCATCTAAGATCTTGGGGCCCCACCACGGCAGGCAGCAGCCCGCCTTACCTCCCATGTGAGACTTGACCTTCTGGCACAAACACCAAGTTTAAACATCGCCATCCTCCAGATCACGCACGCCAAACAATGACATTACACACATGTCGCTCGCGGCACCTACCGATGCTCCGGGGGAGGACCCGGTTCCCCCTCCGCCCCCATCTCCAATAACCTTCGTCCGCGACGTTGAGCCCTTTGTCCCGACGCCCCTCATCGCCGACCTCCTTCGAACTCGCTACTGCATTCCTGACTCCATCTTCCTCGTCGAGGGCATCGAGTCGGCGCCCCTCACCCCGTCAAGTCGATGGCGCGTCGTGCGCCTCATGCTGGGCGACGGCGAGCTCTGCATACAGGCCCTCCTGGTGCCTGAAATGCACCGCTTCGTCGACACCGGCTCAGTCACCGTCGGGTCCTACGTTAAGCTGCCCAAGTTCGCCACGCGCAGGATGCAGATTACGACCCAAGATGGAAAGGGGAGACAGAAGATGGTCTACCTTGTGGTCAGCGACATCATTGCCGTCGGCTGGCACAATACGCTGCGTGAGGCTGCGAGACACGAAGCCCTCGGTGACGATGACGATGACGATGACGAGCTGGCGCAGGAGGAACAGCAATCACTCACACAGAGGCAGTCTCGCGGGCTGTCAACCGAAGGAGATGAAGAGGACTTGATCGCGGACAGCGACATTGAGTTTGGAGATGTTGAGCGCGTACTGAACCATGCGCAGGCATTGACTGCGACGACGCCTACGCGTCCCCGCGTCAGAGGTCAGGCTGCCCGGTCACCCAGTCGCTACGACGGCGATTCAGATGACGAGGCGGCCTTTGAGACCATGACTGTAACCCCCACGAGGTCGACCCAGCGTCGCGAGCGCCTTGCCAACACGATCCAGGCGTCTGCCAGCGCTCAGGTCTCGACACTGCCAAAGGATTCCGATTTGTCACCGTCAAGAGCTGCACAAGGTAGAGGTCCTCCAGGACATGAGGACAAGACCCAAGATGAAAGCAACACCAATGTTCAAAAAGTTGCTTCGCCATCCAAAGCATCACGCGCACAGGCTGGGTCTCAGCGACCGCCAGTTGCTTTGGCCAGGCAGTGGACGGACACGTCTATTCCCCTGAAGCTCACCCCTCTCCGTGCGATCAACAGCCTGCCGTACAAACAGAATTGGTCCATCAACGTTTTGGCCATTGTGACCGCGCTCAGTGGCATTGAACCATCGCATATCCCGCCCTATCAACAACGCATCGCGCGCCTTGCTGACCCTTCCACTGACAAGCACGTCATGCTAGCCTGTATGCTGGAACCTAAAGACTTCTCCCCTCGAGTTGGCAGCGCCGTGCTCCTGGTTAGCGTGAAGAACCACCTCTTCGACGGTGGAAGCCTGAAGAAGTACATCAGCGACAAGCCAACGACACAAGGTGGGCAGTGGTGGTTCCAGAACCCGTCACGGTTTGCGTGGTGTGACGCAGAGGGCCTGCAAAAATGGTGGGACGAGCTTGAAGCGGCAAGAAAAAACAAGCACGCGTGATCCGTTTTGGAAACGCTGTTCATTCCTACTACACCACTACTTCCACGCAACCGTCACTCCATTCTCGTGGGACTCCCTCGCCAGCTCGATCACGCGAATGGCGTCCCTCGACTGCTGCGCCTTGACCTCGAGCTCCGCTTTGCCGTTGATGGCATCCGCCACGTTCTCGTAGATGCCGATCCATCGGCCAGTAATGGTGGGGTACCGCCCAGTGTATTTTTTCGTCTTGGGATCAAGGGTCTGGACGCTCGAGTCAAACTCGTCGTACGTCGTCAGCACGCCGCGCAGGTCATCCGACTCGACGCCGAATCCCTCGTCGAGGGGCTTGGCGCCTGCCGCGATCTGTTCCTCCTGAGGGCAGGTGCTGCGTTGTTGGTGCTGGGCGGGTTTGTTAGTGTTGGTGTCGTTCGTCGATCAGCCGGGGTCATGCAAACCTTGATATACGATCCCTTGGTGCCCCTGACGTAGAACTTGAGCTGCTCCGCCACGGGACTCGTCACGGCCGTCTTGACGGTGACGAGGAGGTCCTTCTGCGGACCACCATACTGCAGGATAATCGTGAACGAGTCTTCCACCTCGCTCTCGATGCCTCGCTGCGCGCGGAAGAAGGCCGTCACCGACTTGGGTCTGCCGAACAGAGTGACCGCCTGATCGACACTGTGGGTTCCTTGACGACGCTGTCAGGGCCTTGGGATCATCGTCGGATAGAAAGATGACGGAAAACATACCCAGGCCAAAGGCCATGCCATCGCCGGGGGTGTACTTCTTGGCCGTCATCGTGTGAAGCCACGGCGCGTTCTCAAAGTCGTAAACGATCTCCGCCTCCTTGACGTCACCGAGGGCACCCTTGATAATCAGCTGCCTCAGAGTCTGGAAACCGCCATCCTATACCCGTGTCAGTATTGTCTCGCCATCTCGGAACTCAAGGCATACCCATCGCCTGTTCTGGAAGCAGGTGAGAATGCGCCCCTTCTTTTCAGCCAGTGCGATCGCCCGATCGACCTCTTCGGCCGACCTGCCGAAAGGCTTGTCGACAATGACTATCACCACACTCGGTCAGAAATGATTGGCCGTCGCGTTGATGTCCCGCTGCAGCCAGGACAAAAACATACCGTGCTTCCCCGCCTCGAGAGCCTTCTCCGCGAACGCGACGTGCGTATCCGTGTGCGTCGCGACGACCACCAAGTCAACATCGGCGTCTGCGAAGAAGGCGTCCGCTGTGCGGTGGTGTCTCGCCGTGGGAAAGTCGACGGTGCAGTGTGAGCCGGCGGCGGCGGAGGCCAGATCGGCGGGAGCTTCGGCGCGCTGGAGGATGGCGACGACCTCGTAGTCGGGGATCGCCCTTATAAAAGGGAGGTGGAAGCTCTTGGCGGCGAAGCCGTAGCCTACAACGCCCACTCGGATAGGGGCCATGATGTCTGCTGTTTAGTTGTCGCGGGTTGTGGTGGCACGGCAATGGAAAGTTTCTTTAGAGACACATTGATGAGATCGAGCAACGAACATTCGGGACCCGGTCTCTACTTATGCATGATGGACGCCCAGGCGATGAAGGTGCCATGCATCGGTGGACTCGAGCTCGCGGAGTCTCGGGGCTCCGGAGAAACTACCCCCTCTTCACAGCATTTAGCCCAACCAACTCCGAGAGGTGGTGCGGGGCTCTGGCGAGAGGCATCAACCCGCCCTTAGCCTTGTCTCCGGGAACCTCACCAAGATCCTGCAGCAGCCAGAGAATCAATATCGCCACAGCTTCTGTTACAAAGCAGGTACGAGTGTACCTAATAGGACACTCGGGACTTCGTTCGCTCTCCTATTGATGAGATGGGAGGAATACTTCCGGAAAGAGAATCGATCTCAACGGCCGTACACTGGATCCTGCGCAACACCCCCTAGCGTTTGAGGTAAGCGACTAAGCGGCGTCATTCGACATTCGATCCTCAGGCGATGTGTTTCCGATTCCCGTACTATCAGGCACTGAAAGTTCAACAGTTGGCCGCGTCTAGCTTGACGATAATGTCGCCAAGAGGTGGCATGACACGCTCCAGCACCTGGAAGACTGTGCTTCTAGCCCCCAGTGACGATTCCCGCAAAGTGAAAGACAGAATGGAAGCATACCGAAGTATACCCGTCGTCTATGGCACAAGGTTGGTGGGAAGCTAGTTCACCTTAACCTGGGTAGACAAAATGCTATTTCCTCATGTTTACAAGGACGCTGTACCCTTCTTCCGGTTTTGGCGCTGCTTTCCTGCTTCCCCTTTCCTTTTTGAACGGGTTTGCGGTTGGCATTGGGTTGGAATTACTAGGGGCCGGGAATTGTGGCCGAGGAGACGATGGTTCATGAAGAGCAGGAGAAAAATGTATGATACTCTCTGTTTTGCGAGAATGAAAAGGACAGCCGTCGCCGAATTCTCAGCGACTGTTTGTCTCACCCAGTCGAGATCGACTAGTTCTGTGATCCCCTCTTGATCGGGCGTTCTGAACAATTCTCCGGTCGAATTGAAGTACAGACAATTGGCGAGTCTTGCCCTGAGGCTCGGGAAATAAGACGCCATGCCAGTCCTTGATTTGGAGCAGAGCGAAGAAGCCTTCAACATGGTCCGCAGCAATAGAATATAGGCTGGGGGTCGGAAGACATCTGAATTCCGGCCTTCCGCAGCTTGGTAGGCCCTCAGCAGCCCTTATGTGCACGTTCTCGCGGGCCGTAACCCCCAGCCAGCTCCCCTGAGCTATTCATAATCGTCTGCGAGGGCGCAGACACCAAGCTTTTCCCCTTGTGCGCCAGGACAGTGGACCCCGTCTTGGCTGTTTATTAGCCGCCCGAAAATTCCAAGTGGAATTCGATTGTAGCTATCATTAGCGTCGGGGGATCGTTGCGTCCTCTTCGAAGGAGACATGGTGCCGCAGATGGGATGCAGGGGCAACCTGGCCTGCCTCCTTGCGTCTCAGTCATTAGTAACGTAAGGCCAGATCTCCGGTCGAATTGAATCGAACGGACTTGAAGCCACGCAGCATGATCGCTGAGTTTGCCAACGTTGCAGTTGAGGAACTTGAGGCACCGCCCCGTGGAACATTTGTTTAGTCATCCGTGACCCAGATCCACCATATGTTCGCGCGGGCTCGTATCTTTACGGCTGTTTAAACTCCACAGTCCTCGCCCAGACACAACCGCCTACAGCAACAGGCAGGGATCATCCTCATGACGAGCATCGTGAGGAGGCGCAAAGCGCACAGTAAGTCTCGAGAAGGGTGTCTACAATGCAAGGAGCGCCACGCCAAGGTACCACGCATCCCCGTCTTTCCAAGGCTTTGGAGCTGAACCCCTTTAGTGCAACGAGGTTCATCCCCAATGCGGACCGTGTCACCGCGCCGACATGTCGTGCAGCTACTCTGCACCGAGCCTGTCAATCACGCCTCTCAACGAAGACAGCGTCGCTGATTTGGAGCTCCTCGAGCAATGGCACCGCCGTCAAATTACGGGCCATCTCTCTGATAGTGCGCGGAGCTTGGAGTCCAGTCTCGTTCGATTGGGTTTCTCGCACCACTACTTACTGAACAGTATCCTTGCCCTCACGGCGTTAGAGCTCTACAGCGAAGACCAGTCTCGGTTCAAATGGTACGCAAGAGCCGTCGCTCACCAACAGACCGCACTCAGTCGCGTCAAGCCGCACTTCAAGTCGCCTGAAGCCACCGACCAACAAGCGCTGCTGGGCTTCTCTGCCTTCACCTCCATGTACGCCGTGGCCGAGCCCTTCATGCGACCCCATCAATTGCGCGCTTTTCAGCCAGCCCAGTTCGATCCTGTGGACGAGTTGTTGCGCGCCTTTCATTTCGGGCGATGCACAACGTCATTCGTGCAGCAAAGTTTCCCTCCAGCCCTGGTTACAGAGTCCTGGCTTCTCCTGCCGTCCATGACACGACAAGGAGATGCTTTCCAGGGTCCCAGTGCAAAATTCCCACAGTTCCAACCGCTCGTAGACCGCGTTAGGCATCTCTCCGACCATTCACAGGAGATGGCGTGTCTTTCGTCCATTTCTCAGCTCATTGGGCGAATAGCCACCTTGGTTGATAATCCCACAGAGCCCGAGAAGGGCAAGGTTATTTGGGGATGGGGTCTCGAGGTCCATCAAGACTTTCTCGACATGTGTTCGGCGCGGCACTCCGTGGCACTCGCCGTCTTGGCCCACCTGGCCGTCCTGATGACCTTTTACAGGGAGCACTGGTGTCTCAGGTCATGGCCTACCGGGCTGCTAAGTCACGTCAAGGGTGTCCTTGGTGATGAGTGGAAAGATGTAATCCAGTGGCCGTGCGATGTCGTGTTTGGATCAGTTGCAGTTGCATATGGATAGGCCAGACGAAATGCAGTGTGAAATTGGTCCGAGGTGGGTCAGACAATCCGAGGTCGAGTCAAGATTCTTTCTAAGCGTAGGAACCTTAGTTTGCCGTATTGATACGGGAGGGCGGTCCACGCAGCTAGCCTGCTTTGGGCTGGCCTGCGAGGCCTAAGATCTGTAAGCGGTGGTCGATCTAGGCTCAACATGAGAATATCTGTTTGACAACCAGCCATCCGAAGGAGGTAAATAGGCTGGTGGAAGAAGATATAAAAGGAGTCTATGTAGTTGATAATTGACTGAAAATACATCATTCCCATCTCATCTTCCAACATCACACTAACTTCTCACACACTCACACTCTACAAATAAAATGTCTCGATACACCGCCAGCTACGCCACCCCCAAGGGCCCTGGCGATGCTCGCCCTACAGCCCTTCAGATCATCGAGGACGAAGGTCGCGTTGGCCAGCTCACCGGCAAGGTCGCCCTCGTCACCGGTGCCAACTCTGGTATTGGTCTTGAAACAGCCCGCGCGCTCCATGCTGCCGGCGTCACCTTGTACATCACTGCGAGGGACACGGCCAAGGCCGAGAAAGCCATCGAAGCCATCAAGAAGGACTCTAGTGCCAGCAGCAACGCATCCATCAAGGCGATCACCCTACGCTTGGACTCTCTCAGCTCGGTGCGCAGCGCAGCCAAAGCCTTCCTCGAGCAGAGCGACAAGCTTAACCTTCTCATCCTCAATGCCGGCATCATGTGCACTCCGGATGAGAAAACCGAAGATGGATTTGAGCTGCAGTTCGGCACAAACTATCTAGGCCACTTCCTGCTGTTCCAGCTGCTGAAGCCTGCCCTGTTGTCCGGGAGCTCGCCCGATTTCCACTCCCGCGTCGTTTCCGTCTCCTCCATTGCCCACAATGACAGTGGCATCCGCTTCGAGGATATCAACTTTGAGAAGACGCCGCACAACCCGTGGCTCGCATATGGCCAGTCAAAGACGGCCAACATCTACCTCGCCAATGAGATTGAACGCCGCTTCAGCTCCAAGGGGCTGCACGCTCTGTCTCTCCATCCCGGCGTCATCTTCACCAATCTGACCAACCACATGGATACGACGGAATGGGTAGCCTCCATGACCGACGAGGCCAAGGCCGAACTCAAGAGCGCACCTCAAGGAGCGGCCACAACAGTCTACGCCGCCGTCAGCAAGGAATGGGAGGGTCGCGGCGGCAAGTATCTGAACAACTGCGCCGTTGACCCGCTCATTCCTTCTGGAAAGACCTGGCAGCAGGGCGCAAGTGGCCACGCAGCTTGGGCGTACGATGTGGAGAGTGCAAAGAAACTTTGGGACATTGGAAACGAGATGATCGGTTTCAAGGAGGAGTAGATATGATCGAGTTTAGGTCACTTCGGGGTAGGAATACTTCTGTTCAACCCTGCGATAGCTTGCTACTTGATTCGAAATAAAAACATAGTTTAGGACCATGATGAAATTGGCGTTGCCACTATGAAGCCACTTCTCAAATCTAAAACCTTACGCGAGACCGAGATGAGACAGAGGAACCCACAGTCGTGAACATGGTTCAATAAGCATGAACCAGTTGTTCTCACAGGATTACATAGCTAATGATTCCTTTTTAAACATAGTGCCCAGCTGGCTTCTAGATATGTCATGCGTTGATGAGGTAAATGAGCAGACATGTCTTCAGTAATACATGGGACAACCCCTCAGAAGCTCGACTCCCGCGGGAACGCCAGCCAGTATGCTGCTGATAGGAATCATTTACATCGCAACGAAACTGCCCAAGTCCTTCAAGCAGAGTCGAGGCTGGCTTGAAAACCTCTACAGAAGGCCCCCGAGGCATCCTGCTTTCGCCGCGCCGTCACAACGGTCTCTCGCAACCTTTGCGTGAACAAGTCGCACCTTTGAGTGAAAATATTTGCAGCTCAGAGGGTTGCTGTTACCACGAGGCAATTCAACTGGTGCTAGAATAAATCATTTACATAATGCTAGTTCCACCAATGATCATTATGGCTACTGGTAGTCTTCCTTAAAATATTGGCTTTTGTGGCCCGGTTCCGACGCCCGTGAAGAAAAGTTTGAGCGAAGAATCATGCCCGCTGCGCATAACTGTAGTCTCCGAATGCAAGACTGGTTCAAAGTGGTATAAACAACCTGGACTGGAAGGGAAGCCAGGGGTATGAACGCCTACGTCGAAGCGACTTTATCCCGTTCCGCTCCAGCCTCCCTCATATTTTCTTTATCTTTGCTGCGCCGTTTCAAGGGCATGATCTGCCTTTTTCCCTTCCTGAGGCCGCCAGCAATTACACTGACCATCCGCCGTTCCCCTGTAAGATGATTCACGATGAAAACGAGGAGGTATGCGAAAACAAAGGTCGGCAGGATCCAGGTGCTAGTGTGGCAATAAAAGAAGCGCATGGTGTTCTGAGACACGCAGACCACGAGACCCAACCCTAGGGCGACGAGGAAGTTGAAGATGACACGAAGAACGGCACCTTTGGTCCACCTCTCTTTTCGTGCAATGATGTAGAGGACATTTGCCATGGCTAACACAGCGCCCCCGCATACGAATGTATACTGGAAGACGGTACGGGTCCGTTGATAGGAACGCCAGCTCACCGCGAAGTTGAAGCTCTGGTTGTCGACTCCGGCCGTGGTAGGGCTTGCCGAAGGGTCGATTGTCTCCGTCTCCACTTGATCGACGTAAAAGTCAATGCCATAGTTCAGACTGACAATTTTGTCAACGGTGAAGATGATGGTCTTGAGCCCTTCTTCCAAGGCCCTGATCGTTCCGTCCTCTTGGAGTGCTTCTTCGGCCGTCATGTCTGAATTTTGCACTCGTCGACGAGCGGCCGGGATATCGAGGCTCTCCAGTTCATCCAATGTTTTGATTATGGTCAAATGGTAAACATAGTAGCCAGGGGAATAGTCTTCGAAGAGGCTGTCAACCCAATCTCTGTACGGCTGAACAAACTGACTGCTGGTCATTTGATCGCCGTTTTCTTCTAGACGCTCTCTCTCCTGGATTGTCTCTTCTTGTACAGAGCCCAGTCGCGTCCGAGTTTTCGAAGAAACTCGGAGGTCTTCCAGAAGATGATGTATTGTGCACATCCTTCGATGAACAGCGTGAGAGCTAGATGTAGAGGGAAATGAACAAGCGTCCAACTGAGTTGTCGCCATCGCGAAGCATAGAGTCGCTGCAGCCAGTCGAAATAAATCATAAACACAAGATAGCTTATACCTATACAGGCCGACACTACTCCAATAGTGTCATAGGCTGAGGTGCACCAAGTTAGCTCGCAGTATTTCCGGGAAGTGGGACTGCATACTCCAGGCATCGTGTCCGTCCGCTTTCACCACCTTGGTAATCGAAGCACAAGCTACGGTGATGCCTTCGCCGAAAAATATCAGGGTGAGAAGGCTCGATCTCCGCATCAATGGGGTACCTTCAAAGCTGAGAACAGGGTAGAAGACCGACATGCCTAGGGCAGTCAAGATCTCAACTAAACACAGACAGATTAGTCTAGAGGTCTTGTCAAATTCGAGCAGTCTCTTCATAGCTGCGCAGTCAGGAAACCAACTATAGAATACTCGGTTAGCCTGATCTTCAAAGCGAAATGTCACAACGAGATATATCATCGCATTGAAGGTGTTGATCAATGCCATCCAGATGAGAGGGGTTCTAATTGCTTTGTGTCGTCGAGCGTGAAACACGACGCTGCCGTACTTGACAGCGAGGCAAAGCCGAGAAACCATCAATATGAGAGCTAGAGCATTCCGTCAGTCGAAAGGATGCCAAACCATATGAGAGGGTGCTCTCACAGAAGGTTCGAAAGACCCGGAAGTCCTGGTCGTTTGGATCGAAGTTGGGTGAAACAGTCACAAAGCCGACAAGCACTGCAAAGTGACTCCCACGACAGCAGCGCTCAAAAATGCTGTCGGTCACATAGCGAACATCATACATGCTGGTCAACAACCAGGTCGTCCAAAGAAGATTGCATCTGGAGTCAGTCCTGAAGAAATGCCAGCAGCGGCAGACACATAGATGGGGATCTGACCAAAAGAATCCAACATATGCAGAGAGACCACCAAGCGTAGCCATCTGCTGGTTTTGATTGAAAAGGTTCAAGCACTGTCGCGGTTAGTGGCTATCGGGCAGGAGAGATACTCAGGATCACGCTCACAGCCTGAGGGCGGTCAGTGGTTACGATGGAGAAATGGCTGTGTAGGGGTGCTTTCTATGGAACCTTACAGCAAAGAAAAGGTCGTAGAAGACTTCAAGGTTTGTAGCGTCATCATTCTTTCTTAGGACAGGCTGCTCGCCGTCTGTCGCGTTGTGTCGAGCATCGCTGCAATGACTGCTTCGCGTGATCAAAAATGGACTCTCAAGGAACCTAAGTTTCTCGGATGCAGTTTCGATCGGCAACTCGTCCGACAACTTTGGCGATCGCTTTGCATCGGACTGGATTGCCTGGTGATGACCACGGAAATTCGCGAATGCCGCGAGAAAAAATCCAGAGTATTTACGAAAACCTGAGGACCGCAGTGTTGCGGAGCTTGCTGATGATAAGGCACCTCCTTGTGCCGTGCCCTTCTAGTCAGTGCGACACCTCAGACGTCACAGGCTCCCACACTGCAAGTGGTACGCAGCCTGATACGCGGGTTACAGATTTGCAGCCACAGGCACAAAATCCCCCTCGATCCAATTACACTGGCCTTTGGGCTTTAGCTACTGACGGGCTTACGTTCGGACGATGATTGGTGGTAGTCGCTGGTGTTGTGTGCTGATGTCAGAGCGTTGTTTAGAACAGTGAAGGGGTCTTCCACAGGGTCCGCAGGTAGTTAGAATATAGGTATGGGATAGGAATACATCTGAATTCTGGCCCTCCGCAGCCTATATATACGTTCTCTCGTGACCCTTAGCCCCTGGCCAGCCCCCTGGCTTGGCAGGCCCTGGGTGGCTCCGCAGGGTCCTGACAGCTGATCTCATTCAAGGTTTTGTCAGATACGCGTATTTGTTAGTCTACTTTTCCACTTGTCGATGAGGACGTCATCGCACTCCCGTCATATAAGCTGTACAAACAGCCAAGGCTAAGCAGCGTAGATATGTACACTTTGCCCTTCATTCACTTTTCAATAATGCTTCGATCGATGAGCAAGCAGTGTGCAGAGGTTGCCATGATCAACTAGCCTCAAACCATCCGTAACCAATGACAAACGCGTTTCTTGTAGCACACTTCTGTGGCACATTCATCACGAGAGATGACTAGCCTATTCTTCTCGCGAACAGCTTTCTATCTTATGCCTCAGGTGAAGAAGATCCCTGCAACCGAAATGGCAGCCGCAAGAGAGAATACCCCAGGGATACTGTTAGAGTACGCCTGAGGCGTACTTTTCAAGCCAGCTAGTGTAACGAAATGTCTATAAAGCAAAGCCTCTGCCGCCAGCGACTGTCACAGCGGTGGCGGCAGTGTTCTGTGCTTGGGATCTGTTAGGAGACCCCTGCGGAGCCATGTCACAGGGGGCTAAACAGGTGCTGAGGACTACGAGAACGCATATGTAAAGACTGTGGAAGGTTAGAATTCGGATACACTATATTCCTATATTTATTATATATTGCCTGCGGACGACGTATGAGAGACCTCCTCACTCTGGTCCAAATCGAGCATTGAAAGGATCTGAGCGAGGCTCGCAGGCGGCCTGAGAAGATGATGTTGCCGATGGACAAGATTGCACCACCAAAGGTCTGCGCAAAGACCAGAAGAGCTGACCCAACACATAATTGGGCTGGCTGGAGCCTGTCCTCATACCGTCCAATATCCTTTCAGTGAATAAAAAACATGGCTGGGTTGAGGTCTCGATACTGCTAGTGTTGGAAAATGATGGAACGGAATTCAGAATCCCGGCCCTCTTTCAGAACCCACCAACGTTATTCCAACGCCTTGTTACATAAGCACCACTAAGCCCGACGTGGATAGGAAGCGGACTTCGGATAGTCCGATGTCTTGAATCCCGCTTTGGTGGTCTCATGCTTACTTCCCATTCCAGAATTACTCACTCGAGGCGGCTGTCTTCTGCTGAGGCAAACATTCCATTGCTGCATCTCCTTCAGGTTATAAGGCTTGGCAAACAGGATTTCATCAACATACTCACCGTCGGGAGCCAGTGAGGTGCTCATCCCGCGGCCAGTGGCCGAACTTGGGCAGCCCTCAACCCATAACCACGAGCCCTTCAAGCCACGCCAGCACGGAAATGGAGTCTGTCTCCGACGGCACCCCGGCGCCTTACGGCAGGGCTTGCACCAACTGCGCTAAAGCTAAATGCAAATGCACGCTGAGAAGCGTCGGAGGCGCATGCGAAAGGTAGGACAGTCTTGCTGTTCCTCTTGCGTGACTCTGGCAACAGCAACAGCCTGACTCTCATTCATCCCACATGACTTCTTGTGCCTGGACATCTCGCTGACACCTGAGCTAGGTGTCATCGCCTCAGCAAAACATGTCAGCCAGCGCCCAGCGTCCGAAAACGATCCAAGAAGCAAGTCAACAGTCGTACTGCTCATCTGGAGAAGAAGCTAGATCATCTTGCCGTTCTCCTAAGGGCCTCAGGACATGGAAACCTCTCCGCAGATCTTGAAAGTTCCGTATCAGGTGACCCCACCTCTCTAACTGAAGGATCAACAACACCATATGAAGACGCACCCTATGCATCAACATCTCAATCCACAAACCCACTATGCCAGGGCACACCGGCCTCATCTACACAAGTTCACGGTGGAATCTATAGCTATAGTCTCACGTCTGGGCCCGAACCTACACAACAAGAGGCCGAACTTCTTTTCATAAATTTCCGAGACGGTCACTTGCGATACTTTCCGTTTGTCGACCTTTCACAGTATGCCTCAGCACTACAAATGCGCCAGGAGCGCCCTTTTCTCTGGCTGTGCATCATGGCCATCTCGACGCGGTCAAGACCTCTACAGCTGGATATGAGCGAGCGTATCCGATGGATAATCAGTCAGAAACTCATGATGGAACATGAAAGAAACATGGATTACCTTCTTGGTCTCATTGCATTCATGGCGTGGTGGGTAATCATCACGACAACTTGAACCTGAAACGATGAATACAGAAGCTGACTTTGTTTCACCCGCAGGATCAACGTACAACCGGGCTCAAAGCCCTTCTTTTGCTTCTACACCCAACTTGCAATTGCGCTAGTTTACGATCTTGGCCTCACCAAAGAGCTTTCCAAGTTCTCTACACCACTTTTGTATTGGAAATCCATTGGACTCAATAACCCCTACTCTGCCGTCTCTCCCCCACGGACAATGGAGGAGCGACGCACCGTCTTGGCAGCATATCTCCTGAGCGCAACGTAGGTTTTTGCTCTTGCCTGTTGGCGGCTTGTTTCTTGAGACTGACGCTACCAGTGTTGCATCCTTTGTCAAGAAAATGGACAGTATGCGCTGGACGAAGCACATGGATGATTGTCTGGACGTACTCGAAAAGTCAAAAGTGATACCAAACGACCGCACTCTTATAGCAATGGTGAGAATGCAGCTCATTCACGACGAGGCTATCAGTATCTATTCGCCTCGCGACACTATGGGATGGGCCGCACCACCGCCCACTTTGTACATAAAGGCGCTGTATTCGAAGCTACACGCAGTTTATCAGGCTCTTGCACCAGAGGTCAAAGCCAACGGTACGAGTACCAAGTCTCCCATTTCACAGTTGACCCTGGACAATAGAAGTTCTGACATTCTATAGATATTGTAACTTGTAGGTTACACGACACGGAACTCGCGATACATGAAAGCGCCATATCACAAGCACACTCTCCGACGAACTTTCCCAACACGCAGCGTCTTGAGGCCCTTTTTGCCTGCCTCAACAGCATCAAATCATGGTTTGACCTCGCCTTAGTCATTCCGCTCTCTACATGCCCCGACTATGGGCTCACATTCTTCGCGCAAATGTCGCATTGTGCCATCAATCTCCACCGTCTCCAGACAATGGACGATCCCATCTGGGACATTGCCACTGCGCGCACCATCATCGACCTTCCCCAAGTGTTGGAGAAGCTCGCAGTACGGTGCACAGTAGCTGCAGACTTGGCCACGGCGTCCCCCAACGACAACGAGGAGTTCACCTTTGTCAGGGCGGCGAAGATGCTTCGTATGATGAAATCGTTTTGGGAAAAGGAGATGACAGAGCGAATGGCAAAGGCGAGACGGGAGGCAACGGGTCTACCGACACCGGCTACGCAAGGCACTTCCGTACCCCTGGACGGCGTTGAGCTGGCGGACTTTGATGGAGAGCTACTGGATGACGAATGGTTCGCTCATGTTTTTACGCCAATGGACCTTTAGATGTTGCTTTTCTCAAGGAGTTTGGAGTTTTGGGCAGGCCGGTTAGACCCAGGAATAAAATTTTGCTTGGATGCAGATGGGGTTGCCATCGCGAGCTGGTCAACGAGTTTAGGCTTTGCCACCGGGACCTCGCGCCAGGCGGATCGATGCGTTTTGAGATAAACACCATTCATAACTTTCTTATGTGCAGAGGAAATATTTACAAAATCTGAAAGCGTCACGCCTGTTCTAGCAGAGCGTGTGCGGGAGGGACTGTTTCTCGCCCCAAAGTTCCATCCATCACTGTTCGTTTCGACCAGCAAACCAGGTTGATGTATCAGCTTACAGGGTTTGGCCGGCGGTACCGACCACGGCAGCCTTTACGGAGCCTGAGCCAAGAGCAGGGATGCTGTATGGCAGGGAGCTCGAGGTCAGGGTGCCCACGGGAGCCGAGTTCACGGAGCCGCCAAGGTCGACATCCTCGGCAACGGCGTAGCCAGTCTCGTCAGAGTAGTCAAAGAAGATGGCGCGCTCAGCGGAGTTCTCGAACACGGAGCTCTGGACAAGGACCTGGGCTCCCATGCGGGTGTTGACACCAGAATCAATGAGACCGTTCCAGTAGTTGTTGATCAAATGGACGGTAGCGAAGCGGATGAGGGGACCGCGGCTGAAAACGTTGGACCAGTGGTTGTTGGCGTAAGTAACGTGGAGCTTGCCAGTGTCCTCTCCGGCGTTGCTGTCAGAGTGTCCGATCAGGGAGCCCTTCCACTACAGAGAGTTAGCCATTACTTCTCCCAGATTATTTGTGTCGTTCAAAGCTTACGTGGTCGTGGAGGTAAGAGTTGGAAATGGTAATCCAATCCGCGCCGTGAGAAACATCAAAGAGACCGTCAAGGTCATCCTTGCCGCCAGACAGGTCACCAGAAAGGTCAACGTGGTCGACCCAAACGTTGGTAGACTCATCGATACCGATGGCATCACCATTACTAGCATCGACCTTGGTGATCTTTAGGTTGCGCAGGATGACATTGCTCTGACGGCGGACGTAGAAGCCAACACCATCGATAGCTGGAACTTATCAGTCCCTATTGGCAATCGCAAAAGGTATGACACTTGACTTACAGCTTCCAGCCTCACCGAAAATAGTCTTATCCGAGGTGGGCCTGACGCGAGTGTTCCCTGAGAGTTGGCCAGACACAATGATGGTCAGAGGGCCGTCGCTCTGGGCGGCCTCGATCAGGGCGTCAACGGTGGTGACCGTAACGGTGTCGCCGCCGGCGCCACCAGTGGTGCCGCCATTCTCGGTGCAGTATCCAATGGGACAGGCTTCGCTGGCCTGGCGACGAGCCAGAGTATTGCGGGAGGTGATGGGGGTAGCAACGGCCAGCGTGGCGAACAGAGCAATGGGAGAGAACTTCATGGTTGCAAATGAAGGATGGTTGTAGAAGGTGAATTTGAGTAGTGTGGAAGGAGAAGGGATGCTGTTCGTGTTTATTAAACTGAGGCTCGCTGAAGAACTCTTTCCCATATATTTCTCTGGAAAAGCCGTTGTTTTATATTCGACCATCCATTGCGACTTCTGATGACATTGTCGCTTGCTGAATGCTGTTCCCTTCTCGCGATGCTCATACCAAGAACAACTAGATCACATCTGTAAGCTTCTCCGGAATAACCTTGATTTAGGTCTCCATCCCGCTGTCGATCTTCCGCAAGGAGCCCATAGTAAACGTCTGCAGACCGGTGGTGGTTGGCTGAGGCCATAGACGCGCTGTCCACAATTACCCCAGGATCCTGAAACTCGAATGACTGTCATCTTTCACAGACGGCTTTCGGTAGATAGAGGCTCCTTCATCCTTCTCGGTAGTGATCTTCGACTAAGCAAGGCACCGCTCATCGTGGCCTGCTCATCTAATACCTTTCCGGGCTGCAGACAGATGAGATGGTCAAGATCATTGGCCTCCATTGCGCCTTTCAGCCTTGGCGATTGGAGGAAAATTTGCCATGTCCTGCATGGCCGTGAACATGCGCTCGGCACGCTAACCATGCTTCGCATTCGTGGGGCATTCTTTGCGGGGGGGAGCACTGCAATAACACATCATCGCCCCAAGGGGCCAAGTGCGAAGCGGTGCTTGAGGTGCCAAGTCCTTCAGGGGGGGGGACACGAAAAGATCGACATCCTTCCACACACGCTGCCACCGGACTTTCAATGCTTCAGGAGTCCGTATATTTGAATCATGAGATCACATGTGCAAGGTCATCATGTACAGACTTATATTTCGCACCAGTAGAGACAAGTAGGCAGCAACTGATCTGCATTCCGTCATCTCAAAAGGACTTGGCCCGCTGCTTCGGATGCCAACTCGAAAGCGCCTTGCAGAAGACACTGAACAATGGGAGCAATTGCTTGTTCTCCAAGCCGTACTACAACAGCACTGCTTCCGCCAGTCAGGGTTGTGATCACGACACGCCTGGTCGAAAGCACCTTTACCTTGGCACCCCATACTTGACTCAATCTCAACAGCGCAAGTTTTGACTCGTTACCCCATTGTAGTTCACCAGGTCCACTGGCACGACGAAGGGTGCAATATTCTTTTCTTGGTACAAGCCGACAGACTCACGGGGGATGTAATTCAAGATTGGTGGACAGACCTGCAGCCGTATCTCGGTATTCAGTCGCCATTGCGATGATTGGAATCATGATTTCTCGGTCGTCACCTTTAGCCATGCCTCACCACCAAACTCGCAACTCCCCACTTCAGCGTGGAGGACCTAGTCTCCCAATGGGTAAGGATGCAAGATCTGGCCGTAGTACAGCTCCGAGTCTTTCGTAGCAAGAAAGACATAGCTGGGAGCAACTTCACTTGGCTGTCCCGGGCGACCGAGCTGCGACTTCTTCCCAAAGCCTTCCATCTGTTCTGCCGGCCTGGAGGCCGGTTGAAGTGGCGTGTGTACTGGCCCAGGCGCGACCGCGTTCACCCTGATACCCTTAGAGACCAGCTGCTTCGCCAGGGCCCTCGTGAATGAGGTGATGGCACCCTTTGTAGACGCATAGTCAATCATGGCTGCGGTGCCGCGGAAGGCTACCGTCGAAGTTGGGTTGATGATGCTTGAACATTGTGAGCACGGTTGTCAGATTAATGGGAGACATTGGGGTCTTACGATCCGCCCTTCTCCATGTGCTTAAGCGCGTACTTCGTGATGGCGAAAATCTGGAGAATATTACTGCGGAATGTGCTCTCCACATCGTCAAGGTTAATATCCGTAAAATCTTCGCACATGACTTGCTTCGCAGCATTGTTGACCAGAATGTGAATCTTGCCGAATTTATCGATATGCTGTTGTACGGCGTTTTTGCAGGTGTCGTTCTCCATAAGGTTGCCAGCAACAAGCAGGCATTCTTTGCCCTCCTTCTCGACGAGCTGCTTCGTCTCTTCGGCATCTTCCTGTTCGTCTGGGAGATAGACGATTGTCACATCAGCACCCTCTCGGGCGAATAGCACGGCCACGGACCGGCCGATGCCCGAGCTGCTGGTTGTTAGGCCACGATAAAGTTGAGGGGAGATGACCTGTGCTTACTCTCCGCCAGTGATCAGGGCCTTGCTTCCTTCGAGCTTTTTAGCTGCACGGTACTCTTGAAAATCATTCTTGCCTTCTAGCTTGGTGGGCTCGCTCTTTGGCGCGAGGTCTTGCTCTCGGCTGGCGATGCATCGGGTTAGACTGTTGTCTGCGAGGCACACGTCCTTTCATTCCGACTTTCACATACCCAGGCAGGCTCTGAGCTTGCTTCTCCTCCACGGGCTTGAATTGACCGCTTTCACCTCCTGACATTTTCAAGGCTTTTTTGATGGAGCTCAGTGGCAAGTATGACTATTGATCCAAGGTCTTGTGCGTTGAAATGTTAGTTCGATGTAAGAAGCAAGGAATCTCAAACGGAGTCCATGTGGCATCATGAAGATTAAATCGTGTTTCTCTCAGACACAATCTCCGGGCGGCTTGGTGCGAGTATGTGGTCATGACAGCATCATTTACGACTGGGCTTCGGGATGATGTAAGAATGCGGTCTCAACCCCGCATTCACGGACATTTACTGCCTGAGAGCGTCATGCATTCTTGGCCTTCCTGTGTTGACAATTCGTACGACTTGACAGGCATCAAATCAAACGCTTCAGCTCTCATTCAGTCAGCTTGAGCATGCAGCATGGTGTCGTACCGACTCTCAAAAAGCGAAACGGGCGTCAGGCCGGGGGGATATTTGGTAGCACTGGATGATTTCGCATCGACTGTTTTCAATGGTGTTAATGGATGGTGTTGAGAAACTTTGGGCAAACGTGGATTGAACCGAAAACCCCTTCGATTACCATGCATGTTATTGAGCTCTGGGGCACCTACATATCCACAAGATCCCGTGGGATCCAGCGTGTCATTGGAGACTTTCACAGCATCATGCCGCTTCGGATCTAGACATCCGCGCGCCTTAGAGAAGATCTTCCCAAGATGCTCCATCCCTCGTTCCCCACCGGCGTGACATCTTGGCAGTTATGTTATATAGCATACCGTGTCCCGCATGTTCTTGCCTTGTCCCCGCAAAGAGTCCCGACTCCTTCATCTTATATCATGTTGCCATTCGACGCAAGTACTTCAGGGAGCGTGTAATACGAGAAGATGCCCCGTCGAGCGCAGATACTCTATCCGCAGGCTGCTGTTCCCTATGCGAGTCGAGATATCCAAGAGGCCACTCCACCACTCGGTCCCAACAATTATGTCGACTTTAGGCTCCACGATCCAGAAAACCCTCGGAACTTTTCCGTCGGTCGCAAGTGGTACATCACGATCGTTGTAGTCCTCCTTGCCACCAATGGTAACTACGCCTCCAGCTTGCCGTCTGGCAGTCTGGTCTCCCTTTCTGAGAGTTTTGGGGTTTCTGAATACGTCGCCGGCCTGTCCATCACGGTATTCCTTCTAGGCTTTTGCGCCGGGCCTTTCATTTTTGCACCATTATCAGAGTTCTATGGTCGAAGAGTCGTGCTTTTTGCTACGTCTCCGATATACATGGCCTTCACATTCCTATGCGCCTTTCCCCCAAGCTTTGCTTCTCTGCTTGTCGGACGCTTTCTGGCCGGCACGTTCATCGCCGCGAGCATCAGTATCGCCCCAGGCGTTCTGGCTGATCTGTGGGAACCTGACGAGAGAGGCAATGCCACTGCTGTCTTCTCCCTCTTCAGCTGGGTGGGGCCTTCTGTCGGGCCCATCGTTTCTGGTTTCTGCGAGCTGAAAAAGGACTGGCGCTGGGCATTCTACACGGCGTTGTGGTTTTGGGCCGCTGCAGCGATCCCCATGCTGACGCTGCCCGAGACACATGCGCCTACGATCCAGTCCCAGAAGGCTCGCTGTATCCGCGCTGCCAAAATCCCCGGCTATGAGAACGTCACGTCGTACGCGGAGGCCACGAGCCCCTCTCTCCTCGGCATCTACAAGATTGCCCTCACCCGACCATGGTGCCTCCTCATCGATCCCATTTCTACCGCATGCGCCATCTATATGGCGTTTGTCTTCACATTGTACTACATGTTGTTCAGTATCTACCCCATCGTTTTCCAGGACATGCGGGGGTGGAACTCTGGTGTTGGCCAGCTCCCCCTGATGGGGTCGGTACTCGGGGCCGGTCTCGGGGCTGTTATAGTCTCCCTGGATACGCGGCGTCGCATGTGCCGAAGCAAGAGCAGAGAAGAGCTCCCACCAGAAGACCGTCTGCTCATGGCCATGATCGGCGGTGTCGGCTTCCCGATTACAATGTTCTGGTTTGCATGGACAGGCCAATTCAAGTAAGTCAGTCTTTGTGCCGTGTTCACGAGGGAAGGCGTGCTCTGTATGACAGGACTCAGCTAATTACTGCAGCTCAATACACTGGTCGGTGCCCACGATCGCAGGTGTTTTCCTATCGGCGAGTCTTCTGCTCATCTTTGTTGCGTTGACCAACTACTTGCTGGACACGTATCAACATCTCGCTTCGTCCGCTGTGGCTGCCAACATATTCGCCCGCTCTCTCGGGAGCGCAACTGCGCCGCTGTTTACGAGCTTCATGTTTGAGGCACTTGACGTGGGCGGCGGAGGTTCGCTGATTGCCGGAGTTGCGGTGCTGCTTGCACCAGTCCCGTTCATATTTTACCGGTATGGTTCCAGGATACGGGCCAGGAGCAAGTACGTTCCTACTGGTGCTACCGAGACAGCACATCTGTACAGTGCCGCATGATGTTCGAATCTAGAAAATGGCAGGCGGCAGGGAAAGCCAAGCCGCATCGTGGGGCGGCACAAGACGGCAAAGAGACCTTTGTACGATATGTATGAGTGTTTCAAAACACCACCGAGCAATGCTCGCAACGTATAGAGCATAGAAATCAAGTACTTAGCTTACGTCCAATCCAACCAGGCTGATTTCCGCTGTGTTTGGCCTCGTGATCAGCATTTATAAGCGTCTTCGACACGCATGTACGTCCCAGTAAGAGGGCGCCTTGCAAGGCTCAGGCACGCAATGCATCTTGAGCGTCACGTCTTAGCTTTTGGTCTGTGCGAAAAGCATTTACGTCTCTCTCCATGTGACTTGAGGTTCAAGGGAGCTGTATAAAAGCAACTAATGTCGGCGAGCATAGCACTTTGTGGCCATGTGATTAGGTAGTATAAATGGGCTGTGAGCTTCTTAATTGATTTATTCGGTCCGATGCAAAGACACGGATTGATGTCCTGGACCATTCTGAGCACCTGTGGGTGGGTGGGGTGTGCAGAGGATCGCCAACGACTGGTGGTGCAACGGCAGAGCGGTTATCACGCACTTTAACACAACATTGTACCTGCTCGGATTACCTTGTTGAGGAAAGTCAGGTCTGTCCCCCAAGGCTGGAGAGCTTATAATTATGGACGGGTGGCGGGATCGCAAAACCGTGGGCAGCCAACCCCAGATTGAGCCATGCCCTCGGATTGTGGTATCCTCGACCACTGCGCTGCTTGACCAGGCTTGACTACGACACCAATATGGTCGGATCGATCAGGCCAGTTGGGGAAACGAACCAGCGAGAAGGTTTCCCCTTCTGCTCGCATGACAGGAACCATCATTCCCGCCCTTGCTCATGCCCAGCGTCAACCTCGGGATCCCCGTTTAGGCCTAGGGGAAAGATCGGCCTGCAAGTGACCAAGGCCGGTTCCCCGGATTCATGGCACTTGGCTACATGGTAAGGCTTGAAGCTAGGGGCCTGGTAAGGCGGCAGAGGCTTGACCCGCACATCCCACAGCTCAGTGGGTGTCCTCCAGAGCCATGACGTCTTGGCCCCGTCCCGACAGCCCGTTCTTCGCCGCATGTTGGTCGTGTCACGTCTCGACGTGGAGAACGTCAAAATTTTCTACACCCTGGGAAAATATCGCAAGAATAAAGCGGTGGAGGCTGATGATGTCAACCTCGTGGAGCAGAAGCGGTTTGACTGGGTCCGAAAGGGAAGACGAATCTGGGATCGTGATTCCCGATTCCGGGGATTGTGGATGAGAGCACAGCACAGTCATCAACTGGCAGCTTGAATTTGCAACCATTGTGTTGGATTTTCATCCTTCCCGGCACGTCCAAAAAAGGCATTCCTTGGCTGTGAAAGCAAATACTCGCAGGGCGAACGTGAACGTGAACCCCCAAGGTATCGGCCGACATTTTTTTCGCCTTTTCTCAAGCCAAGACTTCCTCCGGGTGACATGCCGACAAGGTGAAGGATGTTTCCAGGATTTCGAACCCTTCCGGGCACGGGGCCGTCTTTGACTGGTTCGTTTTGCCCGACTGGGCCTCGTAGCCGCTTTGTTGCACGAGGTTGTGGAGTCCGAATTGAGTAAAACAGATGGGGCAACGTCGTGAGAGGCTGGTGTCACCACGGAATTGAACAAAGTGGATTGATTGTTGTTAAGGTACAAAAGGAGACTTCCAGAAGTCCAAACGAAGGTAATTGGTCAGATCCAGCATCGGTAAGGAGTCTTACCGGGGCGATAACGACAGAACAAATGCATCAAATGAGGACTCCACATTTGGGATGAAAGTACTCCTGGGTCACAGAACAGAACCTTGCCTGATCGGCAACACACCCCCTCAGATGGGTAGGCGAGCCTCTCTCTGACCATCTGAACCACGAAAGATCAGGCAGATGCCTGTTGGCGGCTTTTGGTAGAGAATTTGGTGCCTTTGGAACAGTTGGCGTTCTCAGGGCAGATGAAGGAAATCGTGCTTGTGAAGCAAATAAGGATGTGTGTAAGTGTTAGGAGAGGTGGGCGAAATTGAGCAAGCTGTTCACTGGTGGACCGCTGGTACGCACTCCATCTGCAGAAGCTTCACGAAGTTCTGATGCTTCTGAGTCGGGAGAATCTTTGTAAGCCCATCGCTCACTATCTTGTCAGTGCTCATCCAGTCCACGGATATCTTCCCCTGTCTGACTGTTTGTCGGATCCAAAGACGATGGATGTCAACATGCTTGAGCTTCGTAGTGGCTTGAGGCCTCTCACTAGTGAGTAACAGCAGCGTTTGGCGGTTATCACAGAACATCTGGATCGGAACCTTGCCATGAAAACGTAGCTGAAGCTCCTTGATCAGACGAAGAGTGGCAAGGTAGTTCCTCGCTGCGACACTGAGGGCCACCAGCTCAGCTTCGGTGCTAGAAGTGACCACGGATCGCTGCTTTGTAGCTTTCCAGTCAATTGGACCTCCAAAGAGCATGGTGGTGTATCCTTGTGAACTAAATCTGGTGATGGGATCATCGCCGAATGATGCGTCGCTCGCACAATACAGCGATGTAGAATGGTCTCCTGATCCTCCGTAGGACAGCGAGAGAGTCCTTGTGCGATAGAGGTAGCGGAGACAGTGGTCTGCTGCAAGGTGATGGAGTTCTGTCGGCCTGAGCAGAGACTCCGCAAGTCTTGAGGCAGCTTTGGCCACATCAGGTCGTGTTGTGGTTGCTGCGTAATTGATGGAACCAATTTTGCGTTGGTATAGTTGAATGGATTCAGCAGAGGCTTCGTAATCCTTTGGAGCAGGTGCTGGGTCTGTTGATAGAGGCGTCAAATGACGTCAAATGACCTCTGGTGGATGGCTGGAGGTTGAGGTCCTTCATCTTTTCAGTGATGTAGTTCTCCAGAGACAGCCAGAGCTTGCGCTGGCTACGATCTCTGACCACTCTGATGCCTAAGAACCATCTGACCTCGCCAAGTTCTCGCATCTCGAACAGAGACTTGAGCTGGCTCTTCAGCTCTTCGGCCGCTTGGCGATCCTCTTTGCGGTTCATGAGGATGATGTCGTCAACGTAGAAGAACATGATCATGCCTCTGCCCATGAAGACACAGTTATCTTCCTCGAGAGCCACGAGGCCGATCTTCCGCATAGCCTCGGACAGCAGCTTGTGCCAGAGAAGCGGTGATCGGCGCAAACCGTACAAAGCTCTCTTCAGCTTGAAAATCGTGCGCCTCTGTGGAGCGCCCTTCTTCTGTTGCATCTCCTGCATGAGATCCCAGCCCTGAGGGGCCCAGACGTAGACTGTCTCGTCGAGGTGTGCATTTGGAAAGGCGTTGACGGCATCCAACTGGTGCGTGTCTAGGTCAAACTCTGCACAGATGGCCATCAACGTTCTGAACGTCTTGGCTGCCAGTGTCGACGCGTATGTTTCCATCTCATTCTTGGGCTGTTGGTCTCCTCGTACGCAGAGCCTGGCCTTGAACTTGGTCACGTAGCCGGTGGAGTCAACCTTGTATTTCCAGACCCAGGTCAACCCGAGAACCTTGTGTATTTCCTGGTCGACCGATTCGAAGGGGACTTGCTCGATTGTGTCCATATTTTCAATGGTGTTGACCTCCTGGACGCTTGCTTCTAGCCACTGCTTTTTGTGATCAGAATGAAGCATCTCCTTCCAGGATCTTGGCTCCGCGGGCATATCTGTTCGGAGAAGCGGTTTCTTGTTCGATGGAGTCTGAGTGTGAAAGAATGAGTATTCCACGGTCAAATGTGATGATGGAGGCATTTTCTTGCTGCGGCGGGCTCCTAGAGCCTGGTCGGTGGGGGTGCCGTCTTTGAACTGTGACGGCTTTCTGTCTCTAGCGCTCCTTCGAGTGCCTTGGATTTGTGTTGATGGCGACGGCTGTGGGGCTGGTGCCACTGATGGTCGGGCCTCCACAGTCTCTGTCTCGTCTTCAGCTGAACTTTGATCAGCTGGTGTGTGTTGAGGTGTTGATTCAGGGCTCCGAGCTACTTCGATAGTGTCTTCAATAGCCTCTTCAGTCACTTGAATGGTGTCTGGCACGGGGATCGTGTCTTCCACAGCATCTTCAGCCCCTTGAATGGTGTCTATTACGGCATCTTCCACCCCCTCAGAGACAGCTGGCTGGCCTTGTCCAGTCTCCGTCTCTGGAGTTGGACGTGGTGACGGCAGGACATCATCTCTGCTGGCTGTGTGACCTTCCCGGGGTCGCAGTATCTCCGCGTTGATCTTTCCTCCAAGTTGGAATGTCCGGGCTTTCTCGAACAGGTCGATGGTGGCAACATCGAACTCGTCAATGTCCAGTGACGAGTTGAAAGGATTCTGGGCGTCCGCAACGGGCACGTCCAAAGCCTGGAATTCGTCCTGTAGAATTGGCTTTGGGGATTGGGCGTCCTTGAAAACTGTGGACTCATCGAAACCCACGTCTCTTGTCCTCAATACTGCTTTCATCTCTGGAACCCAGATTCTGTATATGTTGCTGCTGTCGTATCCACAGAGATAGCCGATGTGGGCTCTCGGAGCCAGCTTCTGCTTTCGGTTACGTCCCTCTTGGGCGTCTGCCGTGAGAGGATACGCCCTGCATCCGTATCTTCGCAGGTGAGCCAGGCCTGGAGCCGTAGTTCGAGCGGCAAGGCCCTTGGAGTTGAGCCAGTCGTTCAGCCTTCCTTCTGGTGTCGCCCACTGTAGGCGTCCCTTCGGCGTGAGATTGTGGAGATATGCAGCGGTTTGTACCACCTCTGGCCACAAATCCTCCGGGAACCCAGCAGCCGAGGTAAGGGTTCTTGCGATGGTGAATATCGTGCCTCCATTGCGTTCTGCGGCACCGTTCTGTTCTGGTGTCCTTGCGGCTGATCTCTCCAAGAGAATGCCGCGCTCTTCTGACCAAGTAACCAGATTGCTGCGTAGTGCTGAGTCCCAGTCAACTCTCAGGACCTTGATGACCAGATGGTACTGTCTCCAGAGAAACATCTCAAAGTTGATAAACGCCTGGAAGCCATCTGCTCTGGCAGGCAGAATCCTGACAACAATCTTCCCCGAATATGCGTCCGTTATTACAAGGCACGACTCCATGCCGTTGTA